CACTAGTTGGTGTCGTCCGGTGGTATTTGCTATCAACTGCCGCCATATTGTATTTATTTAGAATTAATAAATCTATATATTTAGAATTATAAAATAAAATATTATTCTCATTAGAAGCTAATCATACAATTACAGATGTTTCGACCATTCGCGGGGAAACGCGATCGCAAGAAAGCACGTCAACGGGAGTCGTAAATTCCCGTTATGATTGGATAATCGACGCCACGAAATGATCGATCCCCTGATTTCGGTTGCGATAATAGGGATGGTTAAATTGACTTTACGAATATAATTAATGTTTATTCCAACAACTTCTTAACTAGAAATGTACAATTAAATTCGATTGATAGCTAGAGTAACAAGGTGTTGTACGCGACGCACGCTTAGATGTTGAAGGTTCAAAAAATGTATAAAGACTGACTTTCTGTAACGATGATGCAGCGGAGGACACTTGCGATGGGTGGGTCTAATGATGCGAGAAAAGCTGATTTGTTAAGACCAAGTTCTTGTTGGGAGAGTGAGGGAAGGACTTCTCTGGTAATTGGTTAATTTTCTGGATTGGTGTGGACGGGTGGAGGAAGGGTGTTAACCGCCCCGAGAGAAAGTTGCTAGTATGAAACATTGTACATGAGAAAGACGAACTTCTATCTTTCCGTAATAAACAATAACCTTTAGACAGTGACTTAGTGCAGATGTTTGGTTCGATCTGAAGGACCTTAGAAATTCCTAAGATTTATGATCGACTCTTAAGACTATTGAAGGTACGCAGCGAAGGCGTGCGGACATCTGGTTGCCATCCCGTCAGCGGTGAGTGGCCTGATCTAGGTAGAATGTCGCACGACGTAACAACAGATAAATTTTATTTCATTTCTAAACAATCAAATAGAATGTTGTAATGATTTCTATGGACGTTTCAGTTCCACAGAAATTTTATTACCAAGGAATAGTCCAATCCGAAAAAGAACGGTTTTGTATAACTTTTGCACCTACTTGATGAAAATGCAGAGAACTCTTTTAAACATAGTCTATCATATTTTTATTTTCCAGATCTCTTATTCGTCTGTTAAAATCTCTGTTATAGTTACCATACAGCCAATAAAACATCGGCGAATAGTTAGGCGACAAACAGAAATTTCGAAACTCGTTGTCGATGGAAAGCGTTTGGCCTCGAACTCTGGGAAAACAAGTCGCGTACACGGGACATTGTGATTACGACGAATAGCTGACGACCATAAATTGTATCTCGTTGCAGCGACAAACAACGATTCTCGCGCGTGCACCCAATTCTTGTACCCCGGTGACCCGCTCATTCGTCCGATTTTTATCGATTCGTCGGCGCATCAATTAGCGCTATTATCGTTTCGTTACAGCTGTCCTTCCATCGATTCCCTTTTTTTCTATCCGACTTCCCTTTTCGTTCTTCTACCTTTTCCCCCTTCGTTTATTTGTCCCTCGCGCGTTGTCGATAAATCGCGGAGCTCTCGATTCAATCAGTGGAACGGACTTCTCGTCTTTCCCTCTCCCTCAAATCTGTCCGGCCCTCTCTTTTCGTTCGCGTTTTAAGTTCACTCGAAGGTTTATTTTACAGATTCGAGTGCTCGCCGATAATCCCGTCGCATTGGATTATAGTACTAGCCAGGCAGACGCTTTTTAATTAATCGTGCCTCTAGCTGAGAACTTTTTTGGACACTAAAAGATCGATGTAAACTTAGCAAGACCTACCGTACGCTGAAAGTTTCAGGCGTTTCACATTAAGCAACTTGCAAATCTTGCCCTATTTTTCTAAAAGAAATCATTACAGGGAATTGTTATAAAGAAAAAAATTGTCTTTGATGTTTCTAATTAAATTACATCCTGCCAGAGGTAAGCAAATGTCTACGTAGAGTTCTGAGTGGCAGTGTATAATTCTATATATTAGTAATATTCCAAAAAGAATGAATTTGTTCTGACTTCGGGTCTTATGGAATTCAAAATTAAGCCCTTCGTTCGCATACCCACGTATCGATGAAACGAATCGACACGAATTCTCAGTCGTGTATTACCCAGTCGAAAACGTTTTATCGACTTATAGTGAAATTTTGACTAGTATGCGAATTCACGTTGATAACGGATAAAAACATTCAAGTGCGTGTGACAGTTTGAGAACGGACTATTAATTGAAAGTTTCGACGAGCATCGACTTCTTTTCCCCCATGTTCCCTCCTCCGAAAAATAATTTCGCCCTGAAAATCGGCCGTCACCCGTTTATCATTCCGTTCCGATTATTGTTTTCTGGATTTTTCATGGTCGTAGCTTGGACACCGTTTCGTTCCATCTATTATCTACATCTCTGTTTGTTACGTTGGAAGCTAAATCGAAATGGTGGAATTTAACCGATTTTAATGGTATACGTCGAAACGAAATGGAAAAAGCGTCGTGTCCCGTTTCTGTGATATTTCACCGAATAATTTACAAGCAGAGATACAGTCAGTCCAGGGGATCTCTGTAAGAATCTTTGAAAAGGAAAGTTTAACTAAAAGATTCAATGATTAATCTTTCATCACGAAAAATGAAAAGAATTGGTTAAAAAATTTCGTGATCGTTCATGAAGAAAAGTTGAATAATGTTAATTAAAACGCATCGATTCTTTTCTTTTGTAGAGAAAATTGGAAACAGAATTACCTAAAAAAGTGAAATAATGTAAAATAAAGAAATGTAATTCTCATTATTGAAAAGTACATATGGTTCTCAATTTGTATGAATTTAATTTAATTGCTATTTTCAAACAAAATTTTTTTTAAATATATAGTCTTTCTGTTTTTGATATATATAGGAATAAATTCAATTCTCTTTTCGTTATAATATGGCCTAAATTTTATATGTTTGTAATTTTTTTATGTAATTTATTCACCGTTTCATCCGTAAAATCAATTTAATATTAATTTGTATCACTTTAAGCCAATATTTAAAAATACGCAACTCAGGGTTAAAATCCACCAACAAAACGTTCCGCGTCAGAATTGTTATTTTTTTCTGCGAATATAAAATCGATATTCAAATCGATTTTCGTAAGTCATTGTAACTCATAATAATCGTAATTGGCGGAATAAATCATACATAATTATGGTTTCATACATTTCCTACAAACGAAAACGAGAAAAGAGGAAAAGGAGAAATTGGAAAAAGGAGAATAAAAATCCTTACAAGGACTACAGCCACGCATTTGCGAATAACTTGAACAATAAACTTTGTTGTGGAAAAAAAGAGTCTAGAAAAAGAGGAACATGTACATATATCAATAAAATTGGAAATCAATTATTTATTTTCCAGCGAGAATTTTATTCATTTCTTTTTTCTTCCGCGCGTTTCAAGTTTCCTACTTTCCTCGTATGCATTTTCGTGAACATCTGCTTATACATTTCCATAAATTCCCCAAATATTTAAAGAAATTACTACGCAAGCAATGTATCTTGGAATTTTCAATCAAATATTTTTTTATACCTGCTTGCATTTGAATCACTCTTGTTGTACAAACGACATAGCTGTCTGTACAGCCCAGTGATGGAACATAATTTTGCTAGCAGCAAAGTGAGATTTATATGTAAATTTGAAATCTTTCGATAAGTCTGTCACATTATGATATTGCACTCACGCCTCGTTCATAAAGGATATAACCTAACAAACACGAAGATGGTACCTCACTGGGGGTAGCCACCCACATAATAATCAAACAGCTACAAAATTCTACCAAATATCCAAATTGGACAAATTGTGAATGTGAAATATTAAATAAAAGAAAAAAAACGCCTCGTGCTCTTGTTTTCGCTGATCCCTCATTATACAGTCGTTTCAACAGCAGAAAATATCGACGGACAAGTGTCAATTCTCTTACAAACTAGGCGTGAAAATAATTAAAACGGGAATGGATAACGTTTCTAACGTTCCAATTATTCATCTTGGAAAAATTCAATGGATCTTAACCCCAAATGTATCAAAATTTGACCTACCGTGGCAAACGACATCATCTATCAAGAGGTACGTACATAAAAAAAATTTATTGAGACAAAAATTTATTGTAACAAATGTATCGCAACGAATGGGTCCGTAATATTTTGAATGATATATAGAATTTCAGAAATGTGAACTGAGGTTGAAAACAATGACCAAAAGAAACCGAGACCTATAGAAGAATGAATTATTCTGTATCTTCGTCACGTTTTACCATATTGTGTCACGTTGTCTATGCGTGATTCACGCAAGCACGTGATTAAGACAATGATCGTGTTAATAACCCAACAGCTGATCGAAAATATATCCGTCGGAGGTAGACAGGCTTATATTAAAAGATAATCTAATTATGACGCTGCAACATCGTTGATAGGTATTAATGACGCAGTTCCCAGTTGAATTAATTACACGCGTTTCTGCGTAACTTTACCTGGTTGGTTTCGAGTTATTGATTGGACCATTCGAAACGCTCGATATCGCGTTCTGCATTCTACTTACGACATTTATTCTCTAACTTCGCCTCTTCAAATAAGTATTGGAAATTAATTTCGATGTAAAACTGGATTAAATCGCGGAAATATATTCTTTTGCGATTCTCCATTATTGCATCCTGCTTCGTGAGCGGAATTACATGAAACGTAATAACATCGTACCACTTCCAAAGAGTTTAATGAGCCTTGATTATGCAACGTGCGTCAGATTTTAAGGGACAAACTTGAAGGACATAGCGAAGGAAAAAAAATATTAATATGAACTCACTAAACCATATTCTTAAAGTGAAAATTCATTTTGCGGATGATTTTACAGTTTAGTAATAATTTCTTAAATTCCTATTAGAAATATATTAATAATAATTGTACTGTCGTGCAAATATAAATATCTTTTTGACAAAATGCGTTTTTGGTTTCTTTGATAAATTAGATACGCAAAATTCAGTAAGTAAAAGTATGTATACTTTTGTATATACTAAAGTGTAGACTTTGTACGAATTTGTCGAAAGGAATTGTTTTAGATGATGGAATTATTTATTCCAACTACAACCGGGACACATTTCGATA